TGGTTAGGTTGTAATCCATCTCAGTGAACCCATTTGTCTCTGCTTTCTCCATGAGGATGACATGAGATGTTGTTAGCTGTCTTTGAGACTGTGTGAGTATGTGTATACTCTAGTCAAACCATTCTTTCTCTGTTTTCTCATCTCAGACATCCGTGTTTGTTCCTGCATCTGAGCTGTCCATCGCTTTGTCGTCTCCTCCTTGAGATACAGCCCAAATGCGGCTGCTGCCACTAGGGATTCTCTGTATCTGCTGCCCACACAAATCTCTCCCTCAGTCTTTGCAAAGCTTAACATTCATTTGTGTGTCGTTTTTGTTCTTTCCCTTTTGTTGCATATGTTCATTTTGTCTGCTCCAACTGTATTGTACTACTTTAATATCTCTCAAACTACCTTATACAATGTCCTGCCAGACCTTGTAGTTAAGAATCCACTAAAAATATGCTTGTTATTGTATTATTTACCTTTGTGTTTTGTCATTATTTTATTTTGTAGTCGAAGATGCCCATGGTGGAATGTTTAAAGGAAATAGCAAACAGACAGTTTGGAGGGGCTACTTGGTATGTTATTTTAAATTTAATTTTATTTTGCAGTAGACAAGTATAAAAGAATGAGTGATAACTTATATAATAACTATATATTGGATATATTCTGAGAGGTTTTTTCAGTGTTTACTTTTTGTCTAAGACCATTTTAGTGTTGATTTAAGTAATCCTGACATTCTTATTTTGAGGCTTGTGCAATACAGTTGATCCTTAGTATTTCTAGCTGTATGTTTTCACCAGCCACATGATGTGGAAAGTGAGTTGTGGTTATTTTCCTCTCTTACTGCAGACAACAGATAAAGAAGTCCCTGGCTTAGTGCTAATACAAGATTTAGCTTTCCTGAGTGGATTTCCACTGACATTCAAGGAAACAAATCAACTAAAAACGAAATTGCCAGAAAATCTTTCTTCTAAAATAAAACTGGTAAGAGTGTAATGACTAGAGCAATTAATAAAACTCATCTCATTTAATATGTGACCCTGTTCTTGTGCCTGTTTTGTTCCAAGTAGAGCTGACAATCATGAGAAACAAAGACAGTCTCCATTCTACCCCAGTATGTTGTCATAAATGCAACTCTGTGTTTAAAGGAGAGCCTCATTTTGAGCAAAACTCTAAGAATCTTACTTGGTTTGCTGGTTTCTCAGATAGAAGTGCAGTATTCATTTGTTTAACAAATGAATTCCTATGTATTAGGTGCTGTTATAACTGCTAGGGATACAGCAGTGGACGTGTAACTTAGAGTATAAGGAAATGAAAGCATGTAAGGAGAGAAGATGGAAGAAAATCATGTATAGTAAGTATACACCTACTCTAGCATATGTATCTATAAAATGTTTTCGTTCATAAAGGGAATACACTTAAACATAACTGCAGATATTTGGAAAGTTTCGTGATGTAAGCTGTCATTCATTAATAGCTAATCGAGATACTAATGTTTGTAGAGTTTACACGTACTAACTCTGTAAGCTTGTCCAGTGGTGCCATTGTTTGGGTTGATCTTGGATTGCAGGCTGGCCTGTGACATGCCTTTTCACTGTACCCTTACTGTTTTCAGAGCCATTTGCTTAATGGATTAAAAGTGCAGCCCATGTAGTTGTACTTTCTACTTGATGTTATGTCAAGATGCCTGTTCTTCCGTCAGAGATATTCAGGTCATAAAACATGAGTATCTTTTCTCTTAGAGTAGAGAGCATTAAGTTAGGCATAAACCAGTTAGGCTCTGTTTCTTGATTCTACAAAGAAATGTTCTTTAAGTTCTGCCACTGGACTTAACTTACTCGAGACCTGACTGGTGTGTTTTGAAGCCCTCTCTGAGGCTTACTTCCTTCCTCTAATGGACAGCATGGAACAGTTTGGAATGTGGAGGATGAAGAAAGGAGGTAGTGGTGGAGCGTTGGTATTTAATTCCTGTCTTGACCATGCCTTTTTATCCCTACCTCTGCCCCAGTTCCCTTTAACTTGTTTGTTTTCCTCTGGAAGTTTGAAATATATTAGCATTGTAATTCAGTGGTGGTATGAGTGACATTTATATACTTTTCTTTTTTTTCATATTTGTAACTTACTTTCATATTTGTAACTTGATAGTGCCCAACTAGGTTAGGGTTGAATTTGTTTTAAATCTGTGTTTATTTTAAAATAGATACCCTACCATTCCTTGCCCTGAGTTGTTTTCCATACTGATTTGAGCAGATAAAATGATAGGTTAGAATTCATTTTAGCCAGTGTTTATTTGGCTTCTTGGCTTCCTACTTGGTAGTTCCAGAATTTTAGACACCTGTGTATCTGCACTTTAGTAGCTGAAATGACAATTCTTGATTCTATTTATATAATTCCAACCATAGTAATTTTTCTAAAGGAAAGAAGGTTCATTTTGCATTCAGGTTTGAATATGCCAGATCTCTTTGCTTGCTGACTGCTTTTGATGTGTCTGCTGGTAGCCGGGTGTGTACCAAAGCAGGCCAACCCCAAGCAGTGTTTGATCTTTGAGTAAAATAATTTTGGGTGACATTGTATGAACTATGGAGGCAGAGGTAGGGTGGGGTAGTTCCTTGAATTAGACAAGGAGCACCAAGCGGCTCTGTGCATGCTAATACCCCTTTCACTTTTTGTCCAGTCCGTTGAGGTTTATATGGATTCGCAGGCTTGTCTTTTTGAGGGCCAGGACCTCCTCAGAGGGTCAAACTAATCATCCATCGCATCCATTGCCATTTGTTTTCATGATTCCATCACCTGTGATTGACTTCAGGGACTAGGGCTTATGATTTTTGGAGACTGGGGAGAAAATGAGAAAGAAGGACAGATAAGTATGTTCGCATTAGAGTCCGTTTTTCAAGTGACCTTCTTTCCTGAGGCTCTACTCCTGGTTTTGTTATCCGTACTGTGAGATAAAATTTCCTACGATTTGGCTTCCCAGTTGATTTAATTAGTGAGTGTTTATGAAACACCTGTGTGCCAGGGGCTGTGCTAGGGATAACTGAGTGAATAAAAGCACTTCTGTTGTGTGGTTTTTTGTGGTTTTTTTTCCCCTGTGTGATCAGTTCCAAGTAGGAGTTTATACAAAGTGCTGTGAGACATTTGGGCCTGACGTCTACTGGGAGCCAAGGAAGGCTTTGCAAAAGAGGACACATTGTCTTTGGGCTTAAGCAGAGCAGCCATTCTCTCAGCAGAAAAGGGAGTGGGAACATACCAAGCAGAGGAACAGCCCCAGCAAAGGGCTGGAGTCTGAACATAAATGGTGTTTCCAGGGAACCAAGGGCACTGAGCCCAGGCTGGGATTTTGCTGGGGATGGGATTGGGAAGGGACATAGATCAAGGTCTTATATGCTGTGTTGAGGATTCTGGACCCTTTCCTGGAAGCCAGGGGAGTTTGGGTGAACCCACTAGAATGTGTGTTACCTGACATATGCCATGGAGGCCTGTTGGTGGACTTAATACCCTAAATTTCTCTGTGAATTTCCTTGGTTGTCCACTGCATTAGGAAATTCCTTTGCTACAGCCCTTAACTCAGCTTTAGATCATGGAGTAAAAGAAATGACGGGTGGTTGGTTTTTCTGTTCTTCCCAGCATTTTATTTTAAAAGGCACAAGGGGGACAGGGTCTCTGGAAGCTTTAGGATATAAGGGAAATTTGAGTGAGCAAAGGGCATCTAAGAGAGATGCAAGTGCTTATGATAGTGAGGAGGTAAAGTCAGGTAAAGAAGGGAGAAGAAAAATCAGGATCACCCCTGCCCCCCTTGATTGTAATTTGGGTGAATTACAGAGCAAGTTCGTTTTCCATACACATTTTGTTTCAGGACATTGATTGCAATCCCCACAATGTAACAGCTCTCTTCTCACTTCCTCCCGGGAGTTACCTTTTCAGGGTCACTTTTTTTGTAAAGCAATCGTTTTGTTAAGTAGTCTAAGGTTACTTTCAGTCAGTTTTGAAGGAGTGTCTTCAAAGAGGCCTTTTAGAATCCTGAATACATTTAGAAGCCTCAGAGTATCAATCAAAATAAGCATCCCATTGTTTCTGTCTGGTTTTTGGTGCCATATGCCTTACATATACTAGTTTTTCCAATTGGAAAGTACCCCAAAGTGGCCACTGATTTGACATACTATTGTTAGTGAGCTCAAACCATAAATGTAGATACAAACAAGACCTGTACCCATAGTTCTTCTCCATGTTCTGCTAGGAAATCCCCTGCTTCCTTGGATTTGGCAGAGTCATTTTAAGACAGTCTTAAGTGCAACAAAATAACTCACAAACTCAAAACTCACAATAAATATTAGATTCAAGCCCAAGACACAATCAGGAACAGAGCTTGAGGATCCAGGAGGGCTTACCGAGATGACCTCCAGATGCTCCACGGAGACAGTGAGCCAAAAGGACTTTTGCAGATACCACTTGAGTGTCTGATGAGAGCTCTGGGGGATGCCAGTCAGCCACTTGGGATCTTACTTCTAGTACCAGGAGTTACCAGAAATGTAAACGCACAGAGAAACACCAGAGATTAGTGTAACAGAACATTTTATTGCATGTATATACAACTCGAATCTGGCAGCCTCAAGTTCAAAGTATCAGGAAGGCACTTTGGAACGGAGATAGTGAAAGCAAGTTATGTAGGCAGATTTTCTTGGTGACATTTGGACATAGCATTGCAGCATTTGTTTGACAAGAATGAAGTGTGTGGATCCTCAAGGTGGTCAGTTGTTAAGAATTTGAGTATTAGGGTTGGGCAGCATAGTCTCCTGGAGGTTGTTGTAAATTCCTTTCATATTGGTTTCTCAGGAGAGAGAATCAAAGCGCATGCAAAGTTTCAGGGTCAGTCACTTGTGAAATCAGATATTAAGGCATGCCATATATCAGAGGACATCTGGATATGTAATCATCATGGAGTTTTACTTTATGGCAGGTTTTTCCTGTTTCTGACCTTGAGTTGACCTCTTTTAGCTAGCCCAGCACAGCCCGTTTATGATTTTAGGTGTCTACAGAGATTTTTCTTTCTTTTGGGAACTTAGAATTTCAAAAATTTAGATAAACTCATAATTTAAATTTAAAGTAAAAAGCTATTTATAGAAGTGGTTCCCCACAAGTACCAGTCTAAGAACTCCAGTTCTGGGCACATACTACACCCATTCTTCCTCACTACCTCTTAGCTCTCTCTCCACAGGCAAAAGCAATTAAGATACCCAGGGTTGGTGGTGGCACCTAGTGTTAGCCGAGGGTACTTCTTCCCCATCTTCATTCATAATTTAGTTGATTACAGTGGCAGAAAAATCTTTCTCAGACATATAAATATTCCTCTAAACATCTTACCGTTCATCTCTCTTTCAGTTACTTACTTTAGGAAAACTTCTTCTGCTCTTTGTTGCATTTATGCAAACCAGCCTTCAGAAGGGCTGCTAGTGTAAGAATAGGTTGAGTCACACCTCTAGTCAGAGAAAACTTATGAAATGACAAGTTATAAAGTGGCAGGTTATGAAATGACCTGCAGAGGCGGTTAAAAAGTGTTATGATTATCTAAATCTTTGATCAAGATTTGAAAGTTCTTTCAGAATTTCTAGAACATCTTAATCTACTTTCCTCTTTGTCACTTAATTGTCTTTTCTTCAACTCTCAGGAGTTCAGAGGTATTGATTTATTTTATTTATACCTTAATGATAGTATTGGGCTAGAATTGTGTTTTGTTTTAAAATGGAAATCCTTACCAATTCAGTCGTCGTTAAATAGTCTTTTATGTAATAGCCCAGGAGCCTGTCAGTAGGAGAGTGTGAAAAGTGGCCCACCAGAGCCTTTGGAGGCCTGGCCCTGCTTTGCTCCTCAGCCAGTCTTTGTCATTTCTTCATTCAAATCTTGGCTGGTGACATCCTCACTTACCATTCTAAACACACTGGGGTGTCTCTCTCTCGCCTTGAACACATAGCACACCACTGCTGAGGTCATGTTCCTCGGTACTAGCATGGCCAGATTCTTACTTCTGGTGCTCAACTCAGCTAACTCATGCTCCAGCAAGTCTTCCTTGACCACCCACTTGGTGAGTGTGCTGCCTGCCTCTGTCTTAGCACCCACCACAGTGTACTGGTAGTTGTGTGATTGCCCACTTACTGGCTGTCATCCATCTCAGTCCCTGTCACAAGCCAGCTCTGTAATATCAAGTGTTCTAGTGCATGAGCACACCAGCTTTAGAGCCATGGAGATCTATCTGGGTTTGACTCTTCAGCTCTGGCCCTTACTCACCACCTTGGGCAGAGTCTGGCACTTAGTATATACTCAGTGCTAGAAATTGAAATGAAAGTGTTACTATATATTATCAGGTGGAAACATAAATGTGTAAAGACAACTCAACTTTGTTGATTTTTGACTGTAATGTGTTGCACTTTTAGCATGTGTGTATATGTGTGTAGCTTCTGTGAAGTTGGTTCTCTTTAATGAACAGTGCCTAAAGAACAAATGCTGTCATATATCAATGTCCTGCAGTAAATGATCTTAGCTGTGAGTTGGAAATCAAAGATTAAGGTCGAGCATGTTACCACATCTCAAAAATACACTAGTCTCAGATCTTTTTCTAGATTTTAAATTTTCTTAAATAATATAAAAAATCCATGAAATTTTTAAATGTCTGAGAAGTTTCAAAGTAGTTTTTCTTTTCATTATTAAGGTAGTTTAGGTAGATGAAATTTGGGTAGTAAAAGTATTATGTCAGTAAACTTAAAATTAAATTTTAGAATATTAAAGTACTATATTATTTATTTCCTAAGATAGGGTTTTTGTTTTTGTTTTTCTTCTTTCTCCTACTCCAGGAAGTCCACAGAGTTGATGTGTGAGCCGCTGTAGAAGGGAGGGAAGGGATATGGGAGGCTGGAGGCAGACAGTGGACTTGATTAGCCCCCGATAGGCTCCTAGTCACCCTGCTTGGCCTGCCTCTCCTCTCCTCACACATGAGGAGGCAGGACGGCAGCAGCATGGAGAGCTGTTGTTAGTGGATGCTTTCAAAGTGAAAGAAAGGAATCAGTCAGGAAGACGGTACACACACACACACACACACGATCTGTGGTGAGAGGAAATACCCTGCATAATAAGGAGAAAAGGTAGAAACGAAACTTAAACTCTAACCTCCAGTTATTTTGGTCTACATAAACTAAGAAAGACTACTTGGAAAATGAGCTACGTGTGGTCGTGCTGCAAATATAAGTCCCTGGACGGTGCAAGGTGTTAATAATTTACAGAGGTGCCTTGGAAGAAAGGCCTAGCGATCTCCTTCTGAAAATTAAAGAACTGAAAACCCCATGGAGCACAGTTCTACTCTGATGCACGTGAGATTGCCATGAGTCAGTGAATCAACTCAACAGCAAATGTGAGAGCTCAGAATGAGCTCGTAATAATTTGTGTTCTGTTTTATAAAGAAAGAAGGCCATGGGCTTTGTTAGAGGAACCAGTGAAGCAGAAAGGTCTTGCTGTCCTAGATTAGTGGTTTTTAACCTTCTCCTTTTTTGAGCTCTGAAAGCCTCTTTTAATTGGAAATTATAAGATGTAATATCTAGAACATAAAACAGGTAAAAAATGGTGAGGAAGCCTAATTGTAAGACTTGTTGATGTTTATGATTCCCCTCAGATTTCTGACTGCTCTGAAGGTTTGCCCAAAAAGGTGGTTTTCCTATGGAAACACTTCACACACCTCATCAAAGACTCTCTTCTGAGGTGCCAGCTGGTCTCCACTATTCCAGTGAAGTTCCACTGCAGGATATTCTTCCCAGTGCCAGTAGATGGCTATTACTCCAGGACAAAGATCACAAGCTGGTGGCCAGACATGTGTTTGAATGCATGGAACTTAAAAATATTTAAGCCAGCATTGCAAAATTGGGAGATTGCATTTAATAGTCTGGGAGTTTGACCTATCGGGAGATCTGGCACCTAGGGCAAGCTTTCTGGTCTGACAGCCCTTGGCAACACAGAGTACTGGCTGCAACCTTCAGATGGCACCTGATGGCACCTGAGGTCTCCTCCGGTTTGCCAACCTGTATCCCCCACTCACCTCATCTCTCTTGAATTTTTTATGCCTGATCTATTTCACTCATTTGTGTAATGTGTCTGGCCTGTTTAGGGTTTAGGTCTTCTTTTTCTGATGATACTGTCGTGCCATTTCAAATATATATATATATATGAATTTATTATATGTAAGGAATGTAATATATTCACATCATTTATATTTATATAGATACTCATTTAAAGATTAAAGATCAAACTGGGGAATTTAAAGTGTTACCTCCTTGAGGTCTTGGGTGGTGCGTGTAGTTTGTACTCAACTACTAACCTGAAAGTTGGTGGTTTGGAGCCACCCAGTGGCGCCATGGAAGAAACGCCTGGCAGTCTGTTTTCATAAAGATGGCTAAGAAAGGAGCTCTGGTGGCGTAGTGCCTAACGCACTTGACTGCTAACCAGAAGTCTGGCGGTTCAAACCCACCAGCCACTCCTCGGAAGGAAGGTTGGGCAATCTACTTGTGTAGTGATGCCTCCTCGGAAACCCAAGGAGGGGTGGCTATGAGTCGGATCCGACTGGACGGCACATAACAAAAACATAGCCAAGCAAACCACGTGGAGCGGTTCTGCTCTGCCACATGGGGGATCACAGTGAGTTGGAATTGACAACAGTGGGTTTGTTTTTTGTTTTTTTCTCTTCCTAGAGGCTCAGGTTTTCACCTTGTAACCCTCTTGTTACTTTGTAGTTGCAGTTGTATTCAGAGGCAAGTGTAGCACTTTTAAAATTAAATAACCCCAAGGGTTTCCAAGAACTGAATAAACAAACCAAGAAGAACATGACAATCGATGGAAAGGAACTGACCATAAGCCCCGCGTATTTATTGTGGGACCTGGGTGCCATCAGCCAGGTAAGGGGTACAGAGATTCTTTTTTTAAAATCCAAATTGAATGTTTAGAATGTTAAAGATTTGTAAGGCATTGGATGATGAGGGGAAGAATATTTGTAGAAAGGTGAGTTGAGTAGAACTCTCCTGATTTTCTAGCTGCTCATATCACAGGTAGTCCCCGGCTCACGATGGGGTTCCATCCCAACTCCGTCGTAGGTCATTACTAACATAAGTAGAATACCTCTTTTTTGTCTTTATTTTTTTAGTTTTTATTATTACTGTGTTTTATTATAAGTGTCTATAAATCCAATCTTTGTCTTTGGGGGTTGGAAACATTATATATACACTTAGAACTAAATTTTAATATTATACGTCACACAGATTACTTTCAATAAGATGCACCAAAAAACAAGGGCAATCCTAAGTGTAGCCCCTTACAACTCGAATATGCTGTAAATCAGGGACCACCTGTAACTGCAGTGATACAGAATTACATTAATCCAAAAATCTTTTCTGTAATATGTTAAAGAAATGCTGTGTTTTTGAGCATTTTTTTTAAAAAAAATATGCTGAGTCCTTTGCATTTTTTGTAATGTATAAAAATAGGACTCAGTCTGTAAAAGTACAAGTTGAAGATTGTGATCAGTATCATTGTTACTGAAACGTACACGTAGGAACTGTTACATGGATGTCTGTTCCTCTGTGGATTTTCTCAGCAGCAAGTCAGACATCTGCCAGGAAGGTCTGAGAAGAGAGAGGGCTGAGGGAAAGAGGCAGAAGAGGAGGTTTGACATAAGGGGTGTGTGACTGATTAATGTCCTGGATGTTTCTCTCAGTCTAAGCAGGATGAAGATGTGTCTGCCAGCCGTTTTGAAGATAATGAAGAGCTGAGATACTCCTTGCGATCTATTGAGAGGCATGCACCGTGGGTTCGGAATATTTTCATTGTCACCAATGGGCAGATCCCATCTTGGCTGAATCTAGATAATCCTCGAGTTACAATAGTAACACATCAGGTATACACCCTTCCACATGTGCAAGGCTGTTTTTCTTGTCTGATCTTCTGTTGCAGTTCAGGGGTATCCATGGTTTCACTTCCTGTCCCCTCCTTGCATCCATTTCTACTTTCTTTAATTCTTCCTTTCTCTTCCCTTCCTTCCTTCCAAAACCAAGCCAAACCAGAACAACCTCTCATTCACCTCTCTCTCTCTCTCTCATTTTTTTTCCCTCTATTAAAAGGACGTTTTTCAAAATTTGAGCCATTTGCCTACCTTTAGTTCACCTGCTATTGAAAGTCACATTCATCGCATTGAAGGGCTGTCACAGAAGTTTATTTACCTAAATGATGATGTCATGTTTGGGAAGGATGTCTGGCCAGATGATTTTTATAGCCACTCCAAAGGTCAAAAGGTGAGTATCTAAGAGGAAGGGATGCCTAGCTTGGAAAGCACTTAGAAGTTATAAAAGGAAAATCAGGAAATCAGTGTCTTATAAATGCTCTAGTCAAATTTGATCAAATAAGTGTTTTTTAGTCCTTAGCTCAGGAGAGTTAATAACTAAGGAGTAAGAAAACTGTGAGGAAGTTTGTGTCCCTGCATTCTCAGACACCCAGAACCCGTTCTTCCCTGACCCTCTAAATTTTCTGCAACACCAGCAGAAGAAACAAAATCACTATGGAACACAAAATCACAGGTAGGAGGTCAGCCAAAATGGCTGAGAGGAGGGTAGCTCAGTTGAGTGTTTAAAGACATGGATGACATTTCATTTTAGGCAGCCAGTCTTCTCTGGTTTTGTTTGAGAGACAGGGTGGAGAAGTGGTTAAGAGCAGAGAGGAGGGGCCAGCTGCTTAAGGCAGATACTAGCTTCACCACTTCCCAGCTCTGGCCAGTGGCTTGGCCTCTGAGTGCCTGCATTTCCTGTCTGCCTAATGGGGAAAGTAAGAAAATTCGCCAGCAGTGTTGGAAGGATTGAGTAATAAGTTAGACGCATCACCATAAGCTTGTAGTTTATGCATCTCTGGAACTATAAATGCTAACAGCACAGAGCTGTTTTTTCCTGTTGTTTATGCCGCCCTGCTCTGCTCATTCTCCCATTCACCTGTGCCATTGCCATCTCTGCTAGGTTGTAGGGCTGCAGGGTGAGCTTGTGGCTTAACAGGAGACAGATACACGACCCGTGACTGTGTACAATGATTTCAGTGCTGACAGGTGTGCTTGGATGCTAGGGAGTGAGACACACAGGAGGTGTGAATCAGGCAGGGTTAGGGAAGAGTTCCCATCTGAATGGAAATCAGTTTTGAAGAACCTGGTGTTAGCTGCCATTGAGTTGACTCAGACTCAGTGATCCTGTGACCACAGAACAGAATGAAACACTCCTGGTCCTGTCCCATCCAGCCATTACTCTGCTTAAGCACTGTGTCCACCATCTCATTGAGAGCTCCTCTCTCTCCCTGGCCCTCTGCTTTACCACGCATGACATCCTTCTCCAGGGTCTGGTCCCTCCTGACAGCATGACCAAAGGACGAGAGACGAAGTCTCACCATTCTCACTTCTGCAGGGCATTCTGGCTGCACTTCGTCCAAGACAGATTTGAACAAACAGACTTTGTACTTATGAAGAAAAGTTAGATGAAGAAAATTAGATGAATTTTAAAAAAAAGCAAGTAGATGGAGCATGCAGAAGCATGGAGGCTTTGGAGGCAGATTTTTTTTTTTTTTTCTAAATTTTAAAAATAGCCATACAGATCACTCATGTTGAAAGCAGTCCAGTTTGCAGTTTGGAATACTGTGGAGCACTGTGTTGATTCACTCCTCGCCTGATCTTCTGCATGGAGATGAGGATAGTGAGAGCTCCTCTGCTGCTTTTGTCTTATATATTTACATACATAAATATCTTTGGGAGTTACTGACGATTGTCACAGAAAAGCAGTGATTTGTGTTATACTTCCCACCTGCTTTGACGTGGTTTCGTAGTCACACTTTTGCTATTAAGTCTGACATTTGAAATCTTGTTTATTTAAAAGTAGATCATAAGGCCATGTTCAGAAACTAATCCACAAATAGAGTGCTTGTCTGCTCTCCTCGAGGTGATCCTTGTTCACCTCTGCCCTGCCCTTGATTCTGCCAAGAGCTCACCTCAACTAAGCAGAGCCTGCCTTTCACATTTCTCTCACGTAGAGGTCCATTTATATGCCCTTTGCTTTGCTGGGATTAACACAGGTAACAGGAAAGAATAGTTTTACACAGAAAGAACTGCCAACATAGCAGGACTTAGAATACTACTGTTGTGGGCAAATTTATAACAAAATATTCCATGTGAATGTAAACAGCCCTTGGAAAACTCCAGCCTTGCCTAGGGGCTCAATTTATTTTTCCCTCCTTAGGTATTTGAGAGTGAAAAGTGTCAGAAATCATTTTTTACCATATGTTTTGTTTTCTCATAGGTTTATTTGACATGGCCTGTGCCAAACTGTGCTGAGGGCTGCCCGGGTTCCTGGATTAAAGACGGCTATTGTGACAAAGCTTGTAATAATTCGGCCTGTGATTGGGATGGTGGTGATTGCTTTGGTAAGACTGTGTCACAGTGTAGTTTGTTCACATTTACCAAATGTTTTCATTCCTGATAATTACTGAACATATATAGTAGACTTGTTAAGCATTCTTCACGTACTGAAACAAATCAGTAGTCCGTGCTCTTTGGAGTTGACGGGTGGCCCAGTTACCCCTCTTGTGCATTGTTGAGGGTGTTTCCCCATGTTGACCCTGCACTTGAAAATGCCTTTTCTTATTTAAAATATGCAGATCAGTAGTACTCCTAATTATGGAAGTTCAAGAGCAAGAATCACTAACTGTGATTCTTGTAGGAGCTACTACTCTTGTAGGAGCTCACTCTGGTGGCTTTCAGCAGCCAATTGCTGTAGGTCAATGAACCACTGAAGGGAGGGAGGCAAGAGAAATAAATGTCCTATCTCCTCAGCATTTCTTCTCCCTTTCTCACATGCTTATATTTGGACTTAATTGATAACAGCTTTTTACGTTTATTTATTGCCTTTAGATTTATAAAGCATTTTCATACACATTAGCCATTATCCATTTGAATTTCGTAGTCACCTAAGAAGGGAAAAGTATGTGCTCAGATATCATCACCTCTGAATTCCATATAAGAAAACAGGCTTGGAAAAGTGTTACTTATTGGGGAAAACAAAGCTTCGATTTGTGTTTCCATTAGACCTGTCAGGTGGCTCCGTGCCATCCAGGGAGCCCATCCCCTAGTAGAACATTACAGTTAGACCACAAAAGGGTGCTTGTTGATCAAGGTTAGCACCTGTATTAGGGCCCGTTTTCAGCAACTTGGCAGTCCCAGTCTCTGGGAGCATCTGCTTTTCCTGTTTTCCCGCTCCTCCAGGCCAGTCTGTGAGCAGACGTGAAGCCTGCCCTCCAGCCTCCACGGCTCCCAAGTGCCATCACCCAGCCATTCCATGCCCTGTCCACTGAAGTGATGCTCCTTTTTCAGTTTATTTTTGTCTTAAACCTACTGCCATCAAGTCAATTCTGATTCATAGCAATCCTTTTTGGGTTTCCAAGGCTGTAAATCTTTACAAAAGTAGATTGCCTCAACTTGCTCCACAGAGCAGCTGGTGGGTTTGAACTGTTGACCTGGTTGGCAGCCGAATGTCTTACCCACTATGCCACCAGAGCTCCTTTTTTTCCTTTTTTAAGATAATTGAAATTTTCTGCTAAGGAATGAGATCAGTCTTTTAAGCTAAAATTCATCCATCAACCCTGAAAACATTATTAAGAAATAATGAACTGCTCCCCCAGCCCCCAGGCAAATCACAGGCATGACAAAACTCATCTTTTTCCTTTTCTCTGCAGGTAACAGCGGAGGCAGTCGCTATGTTGCGGGAGGTGGGGGCACCGGGAGTGTCGGAGTTGGGCAGCCCTGGCAGTTTGGTGGAGGAATAAATAGTATCTCTTATTGTAATCAAGGTTGTGCAAATTCCTGGCTTGCTGATAAGTTCTGCGACCAAGCCTGCAATGTCTTGTCCTGTGGTTTTGATGCTGGCGACTGTGGACAAGGTAAATTTATTAATTTATTAAAAACATAGTAAGAATAAAAGAATAAAAATTTTTTACAAGTAGAGGTCTTTGGGCTGATTGTTATTATTTCATTATTCTGTGTGTACCTGTCTTAGTTTCCTACTGCAGCTATGATAGAAATAGTACAGGGAGGTAGCTTTGAAGAATAGAAACGTGTTTTTTTCCTTTAAGAGGCTAGGAGTCTGAATTCAAGGCACCAGCTCTAAGGGAAGTCCTCTCTCTGTTGGCTCTCAGGGAAGATCCATCTGTAGCCCCTGTGTTCCTCAGTTCCTGGGCGAGCTATTTCCCATCCACATCTCACCCCTATGCGTTTGTGCTTGCTTATTTTTGTGTTTAATCTACTCTTTTTAAAACTCAGAGGTGATGAGGTTTAGGATACACCCTAGACTGATAGAACCTCATTGATAGAGCAAAGAAAATCCCCTTCCCCAAGCAGTATTACATCCACAGGTAGAGGGGTTAGGATTCCAACACGTATTTTCGGGGACACAGTTCAGTTCAATCCATTTCCCAGCCTTACACTCAAACCAGTTGTAAGTTAAAAATAAGAGCACACAGATTCTTAGAGAACAGTAGACTCTGGAGCACTGTATTTTTCTATTACTGCTACAGTCTGATTGTTCTGAACGAGCACATAACCTTGGCTGAAAATACATGGTGAATGTTTGATGTGGAAACAATGAAAGGAGAATAATAATGCATTACAGAAGATGGTTCAAATACTGGCTCTTGTAATGGCTTAGTAATGGGGGCCTTTTGGGCAGGAAACTGTATTTTTTCGAATGGATAAGAAGATGAAAATGATTATTGGAATGTTCTGTCAAGAATTGAGTCCTTTATCCCTGTGTTGTTGTTGTTATGTGCCGTCGAGTCAGCCCTGACTCATAGCGACCCCTCCTTGGGTTTCCGAGGCAGTATCACTACGGAAGTAGGGTTGCCCAACCTTCCTTTATCCGTGTAGTAGGTCAGAATTAGCATCCTATGTTCATGATCCCCTCAGATAGTAGCCCTTGTATTAGAAGTTCTGATTATTTTGACATCAGTTTAAAGTCAGTTTTAGAAAGTGAAACCTAAAGCTCAGATAATTAAAGCATAAGAGGAAATATGCCTGATTTTTAAGAAATCGTGTTTGTATTTTTTTCCTAGATCATTTCCATGAATTGTACAAAGTCACACTTCTTCCAAATCAGACTCACTATGTCCTTCCAAAAGGTGAATGCCTGCCTTATTTCAGCTTTGCAGAAATAGCCAAAAGAGGACTTGAAGGTGCCTATAGTGACAATCCAATCATTCGACATGCTTCAATTGCCAATAAATGGAAAACCATCCACCTGATAATGAACAGTGGAATGAATGCGACCACCATACATTTCAATCTCACATTTCAAAATAAAAATGATGATGAATTCAAAATGCAGATAACAGTAGAGGTTGATACACGAGAGGAACCAAAACTAAATTCTACCACCCAGAAGTCTTACGAGAATTTGGCTAGCCCCATAACACTTCTTCCAGAGGTAGAAATCCCATTTAAAGATGTTCCTGTGGAAAAACGCTTTCCAAAGTTCAAGAGACGTGATGGTAACCTAACAGGGAGATCCCTGGACCAGGTGAAAATTCCCGTGGTCAATATTTCACTTCTTCCAAAAGAAGCCCAGGTAAATCTTGGTGACTTGGATTTGCAGCTGGAACGTGGAGATATCACTCTGAAAGGATACAATCTGTCCAAGTCTGCCTTGTTGCTGTCTTTTCTGATGAACTCACAGGATGCTAAAGTGAAAACAGGTGACACTGTAATAACAGATGAAAGAAATGGCCATTTGGATGTCCCACTGGGAAAACGGGTTCACAAAAACGTCTTGACAAACAGCTTAGAAGCATCTGAAAGATTACTGAGCTCTACCTCTCCAACAGTGACAGTGAAGGTGAATGACCACCCTCAGGGTCAGAATCCATCCCAAGGCTTGGGCACCAAAGCCGGATTTAGATCTGAAGCTGAAAGCCAAAAAGTGGGTGGAGGGGTGTTGAGCGAAAAGCTTTCCTCTCTGATTGTTCCACTGGAAAAACAAGTGACGAAGGAAAAGAAAATCACAGGGAAAGAAGAGAAGGACAGAATGGAGGAACATGCTAAAAATAGCATGGGCATTAATGAAGTATTATTACCTGGACGAAAGCTGCACCATTATGCAGAAAGATACCTGGGCTTTTTGCCATGGGAGAAAAAGAAGTATTTCCAAGATCTTCTTGATGTAAGTTACAACCAGCCTTATATTTCCCATGCTCAGGAAAAACAGATAACCTTGTGATTGATTACAATATAATAATAGCTACCATGTATTTGGGAGTCCCTGTGTGGTATAAATAGTTCACACATTCAACTTCTAACCCAAAGGTTAGATGTTCAAGTCCACCCAGAGGCTCCTCAGAGGAAAAGCTGGTGAGCTCTTCCGACATAGCCACTGAAAAGGCTCGGGAACACATGTCTACTCTGATCCCCATGAGGTTGCTGTGAGTTAGAACCAATGGCAGCTGGTGGTGGTGGTTGGTTGGTACTGGTTTTCCTTTGGTTGACCATCTCTTCAGTACAGTCTTCTGCCACTGTACTAAGTGCTTTCCTTATGTAGATATGTTTAATTTCTCCAATACCTGTAATAATAAAAGTACCTTACAAAGGGTATTTACTGTTGTTACTCCCATTTGATGGTTTAGATAATTGCCTGAATGTGAGTGATAAAGAAATTCAGCCAGGGGCAGACCTCCAGTAGGTGGCAGCACAGAGGTGGTAGCTTATCTTTATTCAGCACGTTATGGTTCCAAAAATGCTTTTCTGTAACCTATGCTGGTCAGGTCAGGTAATTTTCTAGTTTTACTGATGAAAAAAACTGAGGCTTAGTTAAGTTCCTTTGCATCCCCAGCAGCACAATAGCCAGTCAGTGTAAGTCATGCTTCACACCTGCAGTCTCTTGCCCTGCACCTCTGTGCTGCAGTGTGTCCTTTGAACATCCCCTAAGTGCCATCACTGTGCTAACCACTAGGGAGCACAAGATAATTAGAACACAGTCACTGGTCCTGGAAACCAGTGGGGAAGACAGATTTTGTGGACGAATAATTGTAGCTGTGTAGTAAGTGCCTCCCTTTGGGCAAGGAATCCAAAGGGAGAATTGATCAACTCTGCCCCGAGAAACTGGAAGAACATCCATGAGGAAGTGCCCTATGAACTGAGCTTTGAAGGGTAGCTAGGAGTTGACAGGCCAAGAAAAATCATGTGGTCTAGGCAGGATGGGGAAGAAGCAGAGTCATGGGTCGGAAAGAAGGTAAAAGGGGAATGGCATTGTCTTCCTTAGTGTCCTCTGAAAGTATCATGGGCCTGCATATCGTTGTTGTTGTGTGCCCTCGAGTCAGACCCGACTCATAGTGGTCCCTCCTTGGGTTTCCGAGGCAGTATCACTATAGAAGTAGGATTGCCCAACCTTCCTTCCGAGGAGTGGCTGGTGGGTTTGAACCGCCAGCCTTCTGGTTAGCAGTCAAGTGCCTTAGGCACTATGCTACCAGGGCTCCTTTTATCAACATAGTGGGGTGCAAAGACCAGGTCGTTATGCGAAATCGGTGTTATGCGAGTGTTGGGCTGTGCCCCATCTTCAGTCCTGGTGTTCCCCACCTCCTAGTTGCTCACTGCCCATTGGGTGCTCCGAGTACATCTTGGGATGTTGCAAAAAAGACAAGGAGGCCACATCGCCTGACCTCCTTTAACCCCACAAGAGGAAGACAGAATCAGCATCAGTGACGCTAGACCTATTACTGCAAGGCCAGACATGCTGCCTCCCTCCAGCCCTTTCACCAACGGTTTCTTCCAAAGCACCCACCACCTCTCTCTTGGGTTCGATAATTCACTGCAGTGGCCACACAGAACTCACAGATTATGGGGTTTATTAGGGAAGCACCAGGCTACAATTCGAGTTCAGGAAAACTACTCAGTCTCTCTCCCAGCCCACCGTCTCTCAACAGTCTCTCACAGTCTCTCTCCCAGCAGTACATGTCCCTTAGTGTCTCTCTCAGCAATGCATGTCTCTTACGTCTCTTTCCCAGCAGCGCGTGTCTCGCAGGAGCATGTCCTTCCTCAGCCAGCAGTCAGAGAAAGAGACTTCTTCTGCCTCTAGGAGGCCTCCTTTTGATCCTGGCAGAGTGGCCAAACTAACCAATCATAAGATCAGAATTCTAAGCACCTGAGAGAGAGCAGGAACCTCCCAGAACATTGCTTTGTGTTGCGCCCAACAGAAATACCCAGGTGGATAACTTTTACAATCAGGAGCTCCTCAGTTGCTCACAGCAAATTCTACTACAGAGTTTACAAAGACTTATGGCTAGAAAAGCCACACTAAGTAATTCACTCACCATAGATATGCATGGTGTGGCAAGCCTCCTTTCCCCACCACCATAGAACCTGTGGGGTTTGGGGTAGTGGTGGTCCAGTGTTGCTGGTTGCCTCCTCCTGCCCACCCTGGGTGGGAACCACTCGTCCTCCACCCCCTACCTCCTGCCACTCAGCCTGAGCAGAGATCCTGCTTGTCTCCATCCACCCTGGCTCTGCAACCCTGCACAGCCCCCTTTCCCCCTCACTCCCCCCACTAACCTAACCGCCCCAGCCCCTTCAAACCCTTGTCTGGCCTCCTCCTACCCACTTGCGACCTTGTGCTGTCCTGCCATTGCTCCGTGCCCTCTGTGGAGATAGTTGATCACTGAGGAGTAGGTATGTTGCTCTTCAATTGCCTTTTCCCTTAGTAAGTAGTAACAGTGGGCAAGCTAACCACATCAGTACATTATTTATTTTATTACATTATTCTTTTTAACAGCTGCAAATTACTTCTGTTTTTTATGGTTATAAATAAAAAATATATTTCAGTAAATGTTTTTGTACGTATGTCTTACACTTGAGTAAATTTTTATTTCTGAAGGTGGAATTGCAAAGTTGAAAGTGTCAAGTGTAGATTTCCATACAGAAAATTTCATCTTCTATAATGTGCTCACATTCTTTGCCATTTTTCTTTGCCATATAGTTTTGCTTCTTGCTGGTTTTGACAGGGTTCTTTATATTTTGTATCATTAGCTCTATTATATGGTGAAACCAAATGTGTTACTGGTTCTGTGTTCAAAGTTCAGATACTTTCTCCTTAGCTGTAGAAATAGCTTGATTTATCAAATTTGTTTCTAAATATATTTTTAAATGCATTGAATTGGCTATGAAATCTCATGGCTAGTGACCAGTCCTTGACGAATATCCTATAAACCGTCCTCCAACACACAGCTTTTGTTCTCAAGCCAGTTTTGGTGAGGCAGACTTTCACTAAAATCCAGTTAGTCCTACTCTGAGGATGCTTAAAGTCAGTGCTCGTTTCATTTGTCCCTCATGGGCAGTTAGTGACTGATTATGGCCACATTATATAAAATGCTACCATTGTCTCTCTGTTAACAAAGGACATTGTTGTTGGATATCGTCAAGTCGATTTTAACTCACAGTGACCTTGTGACAGTAGAACTGCCCTGTAGGGTTGATAGCGTAGCAGCTAAGGTACTTGACTGCTAACCAGAAGGCTGGTGGTTCAAACCCACCAGCCACTCCTCGGAAGGAAGATGGGGCAATCTACTTCCGTAGTGATACTGTCTTGGAAACCTAAGGAGGGGTCACTATGAGACGGGTCTTACTCGATGGCACAAAACAACAAACAACAGCAATCTTTGCAGGAGCAGGTCTCTAGTTCTTTTTCCCTTGAAGCAGCTAGAGATGGGTTCAAACTGCCAGCCTTTGGTTAGCTTCTGAGCGTTTAATGTTGTGCCACCAGGGCGCCTTAGCACAGTTCATTAGTAAATGTAAAGCTGGGTATACATGGTATTCTCTTCTTAGGAAGAAGAGTCACTGAAGACACAGTTGGCCTACTTCACCGAGAGCAAACACACTGGGAGGCAACTGAAAGACACGTTTGCAGATTCCCTCCGCTACGTCAATAAAATTCTAAACAGCAAATTTGGATTCACCTCTCGGAAGGTCCCTGCACACATGCCTCACATGATTGACCGAATTATTATGCAAGAACTGCAAGATATGTGAGTCTTGCTTGCATTTCTATGGCTTCCATATTTTCAGAGCTAAGGCTGCTTGAAATTTGTGTCTCTGCTATGCTAAATTTATGGCTGTAATATTTGGTGATTAATTATATTAAAGATAACATCTAACTAAATGGGAAGGGGAAAAAATTCTATCCCCACAAATGTTGTTAGGTGCTGTTAAGTCACTTCCAACTCATAGAGACCCAAAGACAGAATGAAACACTGCTGGTTTCTGTGCCATGCTCAGAGTCATTGCTGTTTGAGCCCAGGGTTGCAGCCACTATGTCAGTCCATCTCATTGAAGATCTTCCCCTTCTGCTGACCCTTTACTTTACGAAGCATGATGTCCTTTTCCAGGGACTGTCCCTCCTGGTGATATGTCCAAAGTATGTGAGACCATGTCTCACCATCCTTGCTTCTAAGGAGTATCATGGCTGTACTTCTTCCAAGATAGATTTGTTCATTCTTTTGGCAGTCCATGGTATATTCAGTATTCTTCACAGCACCGTAATTCAAAGGCATCAATTCCCACCAATGTTAGGGACCATTTATAATTTGAATCTGCAGGGCTTATTCTTTTATAATTGGACAGGTTCCCTGAAGAATTTGACAAGACATCGTTTCACAAAGTCCGCCATTCTGAGGATATGCAGTTCGCCTTCTCCTATTTTTATTATCTCATGAGTGCAGTCCAGCCACTGAATATATCTCAGGTTTTTGATGAGGTGGATACAGACCAATCTGGTGTCTTGTCTGACAGAGAAATCCGAACACTGGCCACCAGAATTCACGACCTGCCTTTAAGTTTACAGGTGTTGTATTTTCTTTCCTAAACCTTGTGACATGTGAAATGATGTTTTAAATTTTGGCACTTTCTGTTTTTTCCTCTGACAGATTTCAGTTCAGTGTAAGTAAAAGTAGTTCTTGGTATTTAGTGAGAGTTTGACCACAGTCCCTTTTTAATAGAAGAATTAAAACCAAAGTTCAAGTTTGTGTTATGAGATTACATTGTAGGCTTTTCATCAGGCATTGACGGGATTGTCAGGATTGACACTGTGCTCTTTGGAGAAGAGCTAGAGTATATTGCATGCAAGAATCCTGCGGAAGGCCTTTCAGGGGCTCTTCAGATGTAGTTGGCTCAGCCAAGCCTGTGACACTGTACAGTCCACTGCGTCCTGGCTTCCTCCCGTCCCAGGAGTAGGGAACTCACCAGTGAAGAGTGCCAAGATGAGCAGGGTCTCATAGCATGTCCCTTGGTGACTCCTTTGGACCGCCTTGGGTAAAATGGTGTCTCACAGAGCAGTATGTTCTTTGAAACAGGGATGAAATACTTGCATTTGTATTGTCCCATTCTGCTATTTTTTAGTTTTACTTACTGTTTATCTTAAGAATTATATAGTCATGGTTTCTTGGAAGATAATATTTAAACCATTTTTGGAGACTTACATAATTTTTATTTTTAAAACCACAGTCGTTACTTAACGTCCACATAATAGGTTTATCCTTTTATTTTGCTTTTTAGGATTTGACAGGTCTGGAACACATGTTAATAAATTGCTCAAAAATGCTTCCTGCCAATATTACTCAACTAAACAATGTTCCACCAACTCAGGAAGCATACTATGACCCCAATCTCGTAAGTGGCATGAGTTAACTTTTCTGTACAACAAAATGTTTTATGGGTGTACAACAGCTTGCTTTTGTTGTTGGTGCCATCAAGTCAGTTCTGACTCAGGGTGACAATAGAACTGCCCCAAGGGTCTTCTGGACTGTCGTCTGTATGGAAGCACATCACCAGGCCCTTCCCTGCAGAGCCCCCGGCCTTCAGGAGTCCTGAATGTTACGCCACCAGGAGTCCTTCTGTACAACAGCTTATCCGGTGTTATTTACACCGTTTCAAAAATGACAGGCAGGTTTTCTACTTCTATCTTGGGTAGAGAGTAGTAGCACAGGTAATCCAGAATCATTTATATCTTTTTTTTTTCTTTAATTGTGATTTGGGTGAAAGGTTATAGAGCAAATTCACTTTCCATACAGCACTTCACATATGCTTTGTCTCATGACATTGACTACAATTTACCACAATGCACAGCTCCCCTCCCCATTCCTTCTGATAGTTACCTCTTCTCTGTGTCCATCCCTCCATGTACTCTGCCCCCTGAGGTGTCTTCCTGCATATAAGCAGCCCTTCATTCTCGCATGATTGTTTTCTCCAAGGAGTATATCTACTTCATGTAAATGTTCAACTCTTATGCCTGTGTTTTGTTTGGCTGGAAGCCACAGGTGTGGGTTCAATTCCAGGCCTGAAGGGCAGCTAGGAGCCATAGTCTCAGTGGTTCTACCAGGCTCTATCAGACCAGCAAACCTGGTCCCTCTTCCCCCCGACCCAAATGATTTTGAGTTTTGTTCCACATTGTTCTCCCTCTCTATCGAGGATCTCTTCCATAGATCTCCCTCTGAGTGGTTGACAGTGGTAGCCAGGCACCATCTAGTTCTTCTGGTCTCATAGTCATATAGGCTGTGGATTGCATGGTGTACCAGTCGCGAGGACTAATTGTTTCCATGAATCTTTGGTTTTCTTTATTCTTTGCTCTGGATGAGGAGAGACCCATTGTTGCATCTAGATGGCTGCTTGCAAGCTTTTAAGATCCCAGTTGCTACTCGCCAAAGTAGGAGGTGAAACAATGTTTTGTGTAACATGTTATGCCAATTGAGCTTGATGTCTCCTGTGACTATGGTCCTGAGCCCACAGGTTCAACTACTTGCTCCCTCTGGGTAGTTGGCTATGACCAAGAAGTAACTACGACCTTGTCCCTTGTCAGCTGTACTATACACCTGAGATTTCTTACAGAACATACAAATATGCTTGTAGAACCATTGTCTGCCAACCCTATACATAGTGTTGGGTATACTCCCTGCTGCATGGACATAACTGACAGTTCAGCCTGTCTACCCATCTATCAACCCTTTACCTGTGTTTGCTTTCACTGACAACGCAGTACTGTATGTGCAAAAGGGTTCATCTTTGTTGTCTGCACCTCCCAGGTACCTCTCTGTGTCTTCCTCTTCCTCAGTGCCACCATGTTGATCACACATTTGGTACATTGCCCTTCTCTTCACCCAAATCAATACTTATCTCTACCTTTCTAACACTGTGCCCTCCCCTCACCTCCCCCCACCCCCGGTAACCAACAAAGAAAATTTCCTTCCATATATAAACCTTCCCTTGACTTTTACATTAATGGACTAATACAATATTTGTCCTTCTGGGATCGACTTATTTCACTCAACATAATGTCCTCCAAGTTCATCCATGTTATATGGTGTTTTGCAGATTCTACATTATTCTTTAGGGTTGCATAGTAATCCATTGCTTGTATGTACTATAGTTTGGTTATCCATTCCTCAGTTGATGGACACCTAGGTTGTTTCCAACTTCTTGCTATTATACATAGTGCTGTGATGAACATGGGTGTGCATACGTCCGTTCTTGTCACGGGTCTCACTTCTTTAGGATATTTACCTAGTAATGGAATGACTGGTTCAAATGGTATTTCTATTTCCAACTTTTTAAGGAATCGCCATACTGCTTTCCACAGTGGTTATACCATTTTACAGTCCCACCAGCAGTGTATGAGAGTCCCAATCTCTCTTTATCCTCGCCAGCATTTGTTATTCTCTGTCTTGTTGAACTTTGCTGCTAGTGCAAGATGGTATCTCATTGTTTAGATTTGTATCTCTCTAATGGCTAATGATCGTGAGCATTTCTTCATATGTTTGTTGGCTGCCTGAATATCCTTGGTGAAGTGTCTATTTATGTCTTCTGCCCATTTTTTAATTGGATTGTTTGTCTTTTTGTTATTGAGGTGTTAGAGTTTTCTATAAATTCTAGAGATAAGTCCCTTGTCAGATACGTCATTGCCAAATATTTGTTCCCAATATGTAGGTTCTCTTTTTGACTCTTTTGGAGAAGTCTTGGAAGCACATAAAAATTTAATTTTTATAGAAGGTCCCATTCATCTAGTTTCTCCAGAATCATTTATATCTTGCTTTGGGAATATTTTTTTCCTCCTAATGGGTATTTAAGCTAATATTCAGATTAGTTGCTTATATTCTGTAAGTAGACATCCTGTTTACTAAGAATGGCAGAAGATAGTTCAAAAGCAATGTAAGTGGCCTAGAAGAACAATCCTTGGGTTAAACATTAAGCAAGGAAACATTCATCAGGTGAAATGCCATCTTTCATCACAGCTAAATGTTTTGACGTTGGCACTTTCTTGATGTTACCAGATGGGGTCAGTGGATAATTTGCAGACAACTACTTTGGGGTGCCATGGAGCCCTGGTGGTGCAATGGTTAAGCACTAGGCTGCTAGCTGAAAGGTTGGAGGTCTGAACCCGCCAGCTGCTCTGTGGAATAAAAGAGCTGGTGATGTGGTTCTGTAAGGAGTTGTTGTTGTTGTTGTTTGCCGTCAAGTCGGCCCCGACTCATAGCGACCCCTCCTTGGGTTTCTGAAGCAGTATCACTACGGAAGTAGGATTGCCCAACCTTCCTTCCAAGGAGTGGCTGGTGGGTTTGAACCGCCAGCCTTCTGGTGAGCAGTCAAGTGCCTTAGGAGTACAGCCTAGGAAACCCTGGGAGGCAATTCTAGTCTGTCCTATTGGGTCATTAGGAATCTGAATCGACTCAGTGGCACATGACATCATCATTGGTGTGCCATCCAGCTGAAGTGATTGGAAGAATCTGGATTCTAAGATGTATCCCAGTTTCAGAGAAGTTAAAATGTAAGAAGTTTGCATCTTAGAAATGGTGAAACAAGGGTATAGTATAGTCATTAACATGATGTTTACAGTTAATTTTTATTGATTTAAGGAGCTCTTGTGATACAGTGATTAAAGCATTCAGCTGCTAAGCAAGATCAGTGGTTCAAACTCCATTTGCTGTTCTGTGGGAGTAGTATGAAGCAGTCTGGATCCTTAAAGATTTATGGCCCTGGAAACCTCATGAGGCAGTTCTCTATCTTAAAGGGTTGCTAGGAGTCAGAATCGACTTGATGGCAGTGGTTTGGTTTTTAGTTTATTGATATATGGAAAAATGCTTACAATATAAAAAGAAGTAGAGAAAAAACAGAAGTAGGTCCATAAACATGATATGATATCAGGCATGATGACAAGTCACAGGTAATTGTTTATCTTTTGTTTTTTTTAGACTAGCATTTCTGGTACCTTCTGTGATGAATAGCACTTGCTTTTATAATCAAGTAGTATGGTTGATATGAATCAGTCAGTCTAGAAATGAGACTGCATCAGGGTAGTTGGTTCAAAGGGGGGGTCTCATCCTCTGACTTTTCAGCTAGCAGCCTGGTGCTTAACCATTGCACCACCACATAAGCTCTGATAACAGAATAGTAGCTCATCTTGTGGCCTCAGCACTTGCTTCTGGACCTTTGGCTCAGTCCAGTTGCATAAAGTACTTTATGTTTGTGAAAAATCCTTTGTAAATGTTCATTGTCATTTACAAAGGAGCTCTGGTAGTATGGTGGTTAAGGCATTTGGCTGCTAACTAAAACGTTGGTGGTTCACACTCATTAGCTGCTCAATGGAAGAAAGATGAAACGTTCTGCTTCTGTAAAGATTTGCAGCCTTGGAAACTTGATGGGGTTGCTATGAGTCAGAATCCACTCAGTGGCAGTGAGTTTGTTTTGGAGTCATTTACATGCATGTTTTTAATGAATGAAAAGATACATGTGCAAATCACGATAGGTTTTACTCCTTCCTACAGAGACAACAGAATCAATTTTTTTTTTAAGTTAGACATTAGATTACATAGGTGAAACTTCTCAGTGTTAAGACTTTTTAAATATTGATAACTCTTTTTTCTATTTTCCCCAAATTTGAGCTAGCAGAGTAGTATAACAAAGCTAAAGCAATCAACTAAATCATCCAGATGTAGATGATTTGGCTTAGATTTTTTCCCTGCAAGCTGATGTATTAGTCAAGAGAACTAAAGTTTCTGTCCATTGTCAGGAACCTGGGCACGTTCTGCCTCCATGAGGGGAAAGTGGGCCTTCGTGAGTGCAGGCTGCCCTCACCTGCATTTTCCACTGTCTTCCTGGTGGGCACACCCCCCACTCACACACCCTGAGGTGGCCAAGACAGAGGAAGGAGGAAGGATGCTGGGCTCACCCTCAACCTTTCTTCCTCCCCAGTGGTCCTTGCTTGCTTCTGGACGATACAGTAACTGTGCTAAAAGGTCAGAGTCCAGTGCACTTCATTCTTGCTAGAGCCTTTTTTAGCTCTCTCGCAAGACTTCTCTTTCACACACTTATTTCCACATCTGTCCTTTCACTTGTCTTTCCTCCTCTGGTTTTCTTTCTTTCTCTTGGAGCCATTGCTTTATACCTACCAGATTCCCATACTTATACAGAATTCACAGAAGTGCTATTTTCTAAGAAAAGATGGTACACGTGTGTAAAATAGCCATTCAGCTTGCCTTGTTATAGGTACAGTGAGAGACTATTGAGACATTTTACTTTTGAAATTTGCCCATCTTCATTCATTAGTAGAATAATATTTTAATGTTTTCCAAATTTCTGGATTGAGAGTTAGAATTACCAAGTATCTTTGAGAGCTAAGAAGTGAGTAAAGCTGCTTTGTTAACAATTAAAGTTGGTGTTTTGAAGCCCATCCACATAAACTTTTAGTTATGTTGTTATGTGCCGTCGAGTCGGCCCCGACTCATAGCGACCCCTCCTTGGGTTTCCGAGGCAGTATCACTACGGAAGTAGGATTGCCCAACCTTCCTTCCGAGGAGTGGCTGGTGGGTTTGAACCGCCAGCCGTCTGGTTAGCAGGCAAGTGTCTTAGCCACTATGCTACCAGAGCTCCAGCAGTGTTAATTAACATTGCTCGAACAAACTCTTAGCTAGGATATTGGCTTCATTTTTTTGTAATTAACTGTGATTACACATGGGATCAAAGAATGGATCTTCTAATTATAAGAATCACACGTTAGCTTGTGAGTATAATGTAGACCAGTGACCAACCAGTTCATTATATTTTGTGTTAGGAATTTATTTTCTTTCTGAAGAAAACTGTAACAATAACTTATAAGACTGTTTTAACTCATAGTGTGGGGTAAGTGATTGAAGTCCCTGGGTGGCCCAAATGGTTTAAGCTTGACTACTAACAGAAAGGCTGGAAGTTCAAACCCACCCACTAGCATCGTGAAAGAGAGTCCTGACAATCTGCTGCTGTAAAGATGATAGTCGAAAAGACCCTTGGGCATCCTCCAACACATGGGGTTGCCCTGAGTTGGAATCAACTGGGAGGCGATGGGAAATGGAAGAATGTGTGATTAAAATAAAACTATATTTATAAAAATAGACAGCCTGCACCAGTCAGATTTTTTAAAAAGATAAATCATGTATCTTGATCACTGAGTATTTTTGGTGGCCCCTTGATCTTTATGCCTGAGGTTAGTGCCCCCCCACCTCACTCTGGGTCTGCTCCTGTGACCATGTCTGATCTGCTTGTGTGTTCTCGCAGCCACCGGTCACTAAGAGTCTACTTACCAACTGCAAACCAGTAACTGATAAAATCCACAAGGCATATAAGGACAAAAACAAATACAGGTGAGTAGTATGTACATATTTTGTTTAGTTTAAAGATAATTACAGAGGTCTGGCATTTTTGTAATTGTATAATATCTATTAAGAATTCTTTTTAAAATTACATGAGACTATTTTCTTTAGTAATACTGAAACAGGAAGTAATTCTGTGGAGGTTGAGTCATTGAAGTTTTGCTTTTTTTACCTATATAAATCTTTAAATGTTTTGATAATTAGGTTCGAAATCATGGGAGAGGAAGAGATTGCTTTTAAAATGATCCGTACTAATGTTTCTCATGTGGTCGGGCAGTTGGATGACATACGGAAAAATCCCAGGTACTGGGTTTTTTAAAATTATGTTAAATTTTGCAAATACACATCAAGAAAGGGCCCTTGGAATAGAAGGAAGTGATTTATTTCTGTTGGGAGCAGAGAGAAGACCTAATGGTAGAGGTAACTTTTCTGAGCTGGACTTGACCAAGAGGTATGAGTTTGGGAGAGAAGGGAGGATCCTGTAGGTAGAGACACAAACTCAGTCTTTGATTCAGTTCTTTTGGGTATATACCTGGGAGTGGAACTACTGGTCCATATGGTAGTTTTGGTGGCGTAGTACCTAAGGCATTTGACTGCTGACCAGGCCGACAGTTCAAACCCACCAGCCACTCCTTGGAAGGAAGACTGGGCAATCTACTTCCGTAGAGATACTTACTGCCTTGGAAACCCATGGAGGGGTCGCTATGAGTCAGAACCAACTCGACGGCAGTGCGTTTGCTGGTTTGTTTAATGGTAGTTTTATGTTTTACTTTTTGGAGAAACTACCAGATTGGTTTTGGAAGTCTTTTTTGGTGCTAGCTTATTGCCCTCCCCTTTCAGTCATTATTGAGCTGTAGCAGTACATATGGGAAATTTACTGTTTTAGTTGTGTCTTGTATTTTTATGTTTTTGTGCCAGTTTGAAAAGTTGTTGGGATGAGAGTATGCATAACTATTTTCGTGATCTCTCAATGGACAGGGTTTTATTAAAAGGTAACATGATAAGGTGGGCTTCTCCAGAAGCATTGGCCAGACCCCGCTGTGCCTGTGTACTTGAACAGGTGTTCTGTTTTTCACTCTTTTCTTGTTTCTTTGCTTTGTTTTGTTTTACTTTTATGGAGGCTCATTATATAAGTTAGGAGCAGAAAACCACAGTTCTCACTGGCTTACCAGTTACAAGACATGGTTGGTCCACAGAACGAGGAGCCTGGGGCTAGGCTGCCTCCGGGCCTCCCTTCCTTCGTCCCTCAGGTCTGCTTTCCTGTGTGTGTGAGCTTCATCTGCAGGATGGCTGCAGTGTCCTAGATGTCACCTGCAAAAAGGGACCACCTCTTCCTGTGTCTCTCCCCCCAAGCTGACATTGGAAAGGGGAGAGAATCACTTGGACTAGTCAGGGGCCAACTCTGAGGCTGGAGTAGGATCACCTTCTCTGAGTCAGATCAGAGGCAGAGATAAGCTGAACAGAATGAAAGTTCTCTTAGGAAGGAAGGACTGGGAGTGAAACGGCTGTTTGGCAGGTACTCAGCAGTATCAGCTTTAACTACCTACTGCTCACACATACCGTTTGTCTCATTCTTATACTTTTGCTTTAATTTTTCCCTAAATTGGGGGGAAAAATAGTATAATAAACCCCATAAAACCATAACCCAGATTTTCTGCTGATCTGTATTTTGTCATATTTGTCTCTCTCTTTATCTGTGTGCATGCATATGCACACACTTACTTTTATTTTTTGGCTGAACCATTTTAAAATAAGCTGCAGACATTCACATCTACACACTTCACATCTAATAATTTTAGCACAAGTCTTCCAAAACAGAGACAATCTGCTTTATACCAGAAGATCTTTACCACACACTTAAAAAATTTATTTAAATGATATCATCTAATGCACCAAAAACAAAAAACCGAACTCACTGCCGTTGAGTCAATTCGACTCAGGGCGACCCCTCCTTGGGTTTCTGAGGCGGTATCTCTACGGAAATAGATTGCCCAGTCTATTCAAACCCAGGCTGGTGGGTTTGAACCACCAGCCTTCTGGTTACCAGTCAGATGCCTTAGGCACTATGCTACCAGAGCTCTCTATCTAATGCACAGTTCATATGAAAATTTTCCCAGTTGCCTTCCAGTGCCCTTTATAGGTGTCTGGTTTTGATCTAGGGTATAACTGAGGCTCATGGTTGCATTTGGTTGTCATACTTCTTCAGTATCCTTTAATTTCAAGCAGTTCTCCGAGTTTAGAGAATAGTGAGCCTTCATGTACTCATTACCCAGCTTCAGTAATAATCACTTCGTGATTACTCTTGTTTCCCCTAAACACGCACTCCCTCACTATCACCTCCCAATTATTTTTAAGTAAACCTCAGACATTGTATCACTTCATTGTAGATTTTTCAGTGTGTATCTCTAATATATATGGAGTCTGAAAAACATAACCACAATACCATTAACACATCTAAGAAATCAGTAATAATTCCTTGATATAATTAACTCTGGTCAGTGTACACATTTTCTCATTTGTCTTATTTAAACATTTATATATTTTCTGTTTTTAAATTTGCTGATTTGAATTGGTATCCACTAAAATCCATTCATTGCAATTAAGTCTGTGGGTTTCCCTATCTCCCTTTTTTTTCTTGACTATATAATCTTGTGTGTATGTGAAGAAACCCAAAGGTGTGTTCTGTACCTTTCCTATACGTTGGATTTCTCTAATGCATGTATGCCAGTTGTTTAGTATATTCCTATGTCCACTATATTTTTTATAAGTTGCTAGTTGGATTTAAATATCAGTGTGTGGGGTTCTTTTTTGGTTTTTTTTTTTTTTTTTAAATTTTGGTACATCTGCTTACAACAGTGGTGTCATAGCCACCTCCTGTTTTAATAAGCCCTAAGTTTAATGCCTTTTGCCTTTGAGGAACTTGAAACTGGTAGGGAAGCACATGCCATAATCCCTTTTGCCAGAACTCAGGCATCTTACATTTGACTGAAGACATTTTAAGTAGAACTCATCAAACTAATAGTATCTGTAGCTATAAGACACCATCTCTATTTTAATTCTCTACGGGATAATTGTTAGGAATATAACTATCAGTTCATAGGACTCAATTTTAGAGGCTTACTAATTTTTCCCCAGCTGCTAACAAAATGTTACAGTCAATTAACTACATTGATTTAACAATTAAGGACACACTGAGTAAAAGTCCTTAAATTCATTTGCTCACATAGCTAGAAGGCAGTTTCAAGATTATCTACCCTAAACCTCTTAGTTTACAGATGAGGGATAGCTAAAGAACAAGTTTACAGAACATTAGAGACTCTCCAGAGAATCGTATTAGTAAATGTACCAACGTAGGGTCATGCATTCACTTAAAACATACTTGTAGTCCCCATTCCTTGGTTTGTTTCATATGATCACCAGTAATCTTGGGTCTCCGTTACTGCAGGAAATTTGTTTGCCTGAATGACAACATTGACCATAATCATAAAGATGCCCAGACAGTGAAGGCTGTTCTCAGGGACTTCTATGAGTCCATGTTCCCCATTCCATCCCAATTTGAGCTGCCAAGAGAGTATCGCAACCGTTTCCTTCATATGCATGAGCTGCAAGAATGGTAAGTTCTCATATTTCATATATTTACTTATTTCATAGTTTATATTTTAGAGTGGTGAAACACCATTCCTGTGTTATTATTCATTCTTCAATTTCTTTGCAGAAACACAGTCAGCATTTTTTATTGAGCTTACTGCGTGAAAGACACTTACTGGCATTTTAAGGGATTTGAGAAAATAGTTAACTGGGAGTCTTTCCGTTTCTGCCTTTGCTGTTAAAGTCCGTTCTGACTCATACATAGCAAGCCAGTAGTACAGAGTAGAACTGCCCCATAGGGTTTCCAAGATTGTAATTTTTTTTTGTTTGTTTAATGCATTTTATTGAAATATAATTTATGTACAGTGAAATACACAAAACTAAAGTGACATGGGTTGATGCATTTTTTTTTTTTTTTTGCAGTGCTCCCTCCCCTCCCCTCCCACCCCTGGCAACCAAATAACACAGAAAGTTTCCCTCCATATATAAACTTTTCCTTGACCCTCCAAAACAACGAACTAATACTATATTTGTCTTTCTGTGGTTGACTTATTTCCCTCAGCATAATGTCCTCCAAGTTCATCCATATTATGCAGTGTTTTGCAGACTCTACATTATTCTTTAGTGCTGCATAGCATTCCATTATGTGTAGGTACCATAGATCCACTCTTCCGCTATAAATCTTGGAGATAAGTCCCTTCCCAGATATGTAATTATCAGGAAGTGAATTTGTTGCTGTCATTTTTGTTATGTGCTTTTTCATGGTGTCGATTTCTTTGTTCCATATAATTCTCTATGCTGAGCTTGTTCTGTTTATGAATCATGTTGTCACTTCCTTCATTGCTATTATTTTAGTATTTGCTGAATATTTATGCCGGTCCTCTTTTTTTATTTTGATGTGAAGGTTTATCATTTTTCTTTGAGGTTACCCTGTGATTTATAGTTTTCTACCCAAGTTTAGAACAGTTCGTTCCATCTTGTAGTTGTCTTGACTTCCCTACCATCCAGAACTTCTGTAACAGCACTGTTTTTTCCCTCTTTTTGGTTTATAGTTGTTCTCATTTGTCAGTTGATGTCTCCAGTTCCCTGTTTACAATCTTGTAGGCTTATTTACTTTGGATACTTCCATAGCTGGGTTGGTTTCTGGGTTATATCATCATGTGT